GGGCCAAACATGAGTCATGAGCTCAGCCTTTTTCAGCCCGTACAGGGGAGTCATTGTTGACGGAGTGTTGACGGGGCTGCAGTGACGGGTCAGTTGTTGTGCTGACGTGTCCCGTTGCCTTAAACGGGAGGGGTGCAGCATCATGGACCACGGTTTGCGGTACTACTGCTGGGTCTTTCTCCTAGCTTTCTTGTTCAAGTGTTTCGGGTGAGACGATAGGGTCACAGAGAAAATCGCTGCTGAAAAGTGCTTTCCCATTGGTCGGAGGTACTATGACCGGCTCTTCAAAGAGTGCCTGGTCTGCAGTCTGTAGCACAAGAGAGGTTTGGCAGTGGCGTGGGGTCACTTTTGAAATAGATCCGCGGTCGGACAGCACCAGATTTGTTCAATTTGCCAAATCTCTGGTAGTTGTTCACTTTTGGCAGGGGTGGTTCAATGAGGTTGTTGCCGAACCTAGCACGGCATCGTTTCGTCAGTTTGCCTAGCACTTTCCAGCATATGTCAAATGGCTCGTGCATGTCAGTTGATCGTTCAAAAAACTGTTGGCGCAAATTAAATGCCAGATGTTCATATATTTTCTTGATTAAGCCAGTTCGGACGGTCATGCCCAGCGTTAATTGCAAGCCTTGCTCCAAGGTATGTGCTGGACTTAGTTTCAGAAGGCGTGCGTGATGTGCTGCGAAGGCGCAAGCCTGTCATGCTTTGGCAAACAAGACAAATTATTTTTTTGAGCTCATCAGCCGCTATCAGTGACTTGTTGCTCAACGCAAACAAAATCCAGGCGCAGTCGCTCCAACAGTCATTCGTCTCTCAGGTCCTGTGTGACTTGACGGGCTACAGGAAAGGCCATGTTGGGTTCCGCTGGCGAACGCAGAAGGAGGTCCAGGACGGCCGTGGGCAATTCACCTGTGGCCACAAGCCGCTGGGCTGAAGCGTTCAGCGAACGAAGAGTCATTGTTGACGAAACACGGGCGTTCACCATGGCAGACTGGTTTTGGATGTTAAAGATGATTGGGGCATTTACTTGTGAGTTGGCACTTGCATTTGTTTAAAAGGACGTGTCCTGGGAACCAGGTTTTGAGACCTTCGAAACCTCATCAATGCAATTCCTGACCCTCGTTGTCGCTCAGGTTCTGTTCATCGCAGGCTGACTTGAAAAGCCGGGGCCTTGAACAAGGCTGTCAAGGGCCACTCTTGCCTCTCAAGTTTTGATGTGTCTTGCGGTTACAGTACGTAGCAGATGTTAAGGCTGTTAAGGGCCTCAGGGTGTATTTTCTCAGTAAAGATGTTTCACTGTCTCACTTCTACAAGCTGTACCAGCTTGGGGGTTGTTGCTCTATTGTCCTTCTCATTCCCCTATCGGATACTATATTGGCAATTGGATGCACTTTGTTGCCTGAGGCTACGAAGTAGACTTCAAATATGTGGAAGCCAAGCGGGAGAAGCGGGCCTTGGTCAAGGTTCGACTCTGTCAGGACCGGGTTTTCCGCCTTCACCGATCCGCTGCCATCGTGAGAACAAAGCGTGTCCGAGAGCCCAGCGCACGGATCCATACTCGTTCAACTCCAGAACCCCAATTGACTGTTTGTAGTTGTTTCTTAGCTGGTCAGAAGTGCTGAAGGAAAGGCCACCTTTGCACTTCACAAGCTGGTGCCATCGTGAACGTCGATCAGTCCTTGTTCAGGACTGCGCCTTCAAACTCCACTACCGTCGTTTGAAGAAAGCGCGGAAGCGGCCCATGGAGGAGAAGGCATGGGTTTCTCTATGCACACATCATGGAACTTGCCGGGCGTGGTATTTTTGTTGGGTCTGTTGGAGTTGAAATGAGTGAAGAACAACCTCAGATCGTTGCACAGTCAGCCCATGGGCCAGAATATGACATTTTGCAGCAGCACACCTTTCTATTCTATTTACCTTGACACTCGAACGTAATGGCATTCTTGGAAGCGTGAATTTATGTTTAATGGAGGGTACCTAAAAAAAGGGCAGAACAAGTTGAACCCGTTCGTCATCTAATATACCGTATATACTATATACTATATAGTTATCTAAGATTGAACAAACAAACAGAATTGCCTCACCGGCATTGGATTCAGAAATTGACGAGAAAGGGATTCCAAATGCAGTGCCAGTGGGAGGCCACGTTGGGGGGGCGAAGTTCACACTCCCCCATGCTCACTCCGCTGGCAGGTGCATGCCGAACCTCCAAGTGCTTTTGATGACGGAGAGGTCGCAATGCGAACCGCGAACCGCGAACCACGCAGGGACAAGAAACAACGGTCCGAATCGAACAAACCTGCATTGTTGGAACAAGAAAGAGAGACATACTTAGGATTCTTCAAAGGGCGATTCCATCTGAGAGTGGGAAAGACAGCCCATGCATCGCCCCATCGGTGTGAGTGGCATCGCCCGATCGACGCCGAAATCTGTCGGGCAAGGCACCGCAGCCGGAGGCAGCTGAGGAGGAACCAGGAGATGAGCTTAGCAGATCGGTCGGGGGAGTTCTGCAGATCGGCCCATGAGTCATTTATGTGGAAGGGGAGGCGTTGTTTCCCGCTCTTGGAGGCATGTTGCCTGTATTTTATTATACAGTTGTTCCTCTATAATATTTATTGTAATGATTTTTGCTGCGATATTGAATATGTAAGATATCATAAAACAGATGTCAGATATTCACAGCAATTTACAATATTATATAAGTATAGTTGCATCACATCTATTGCGTTGTGTGACTTCAACCACCCCCGGACGGGTGAACCGCGCATCACCGCTCCGAGGCCCGGACGGCGAGGATCTTCGAGCCTTGGAGTCCTTGGCCTGGCGGCAGCCGGACCCCGAGGCCCCCGGTCGTGCGGTGGAAACGGGATGGTCGTGGAACGGGGGGATTGGGGCCGTGTCGTGGCTTGGAGATGTTTAGGGGAGGATGGGAGGATGGTTAGTTGGCGTTCTTAGGGCAGTGGATCAGTTCTTTTTTTGTGGTTCCTTGTGGGTAAGTGATGTGGTGTGTGGGTAGGAGAGGGTAATTATAAGTAATAGGGTAAGTTTATGGTTGCACTTTTTTTTTTGCGCAGATGCTCCTGCAAGGCTTTCAACAATTTGTTCTGCCTGACTTAGTTTCCTTGTTTGAGAAGCCGAGGAGGCAAGTTGGAAGGACATGGACCGAAGATGCTGAACAGAGCGTTATATAAACTATATATGAGCAACTGCCAAACCTCCGATGAAGGCCAGTGAAGACTAAGAAAGTAAAATGAGGGAAACCTTCAGGAACGATAAGGTTCACAAGAAAAACGATGAGGTTTTAGTACATGTTGTTAGGTGTGTCCAAACCCTCAGGAACGATACGGTTCACAGAAAAACGATCACGTTGGGAAGAGTGCGCACTACGCACAAGAGGTTTTGCATGTCGCTCATATCTTATTGGCAGGGTGAACACTCCTGGCCTCACCCGGCTGGAGAACTGTGAGAAACGCCCATGAGATCGAAGGACTTGCACAGGTGAGATATGATATATATATATATACACATAACATTATATATATATATAACTATATGATTGCATACAATAGACATACTATGAGACATACTGTTGATGGACAAAATCCTGCACCACCTCACCACTTTACCCTGGAAGGGTCGCATAGCAACCCCCGTGCCCCCTCATTCAATGTTGGCGCGACCCCTCTGAGGAGGTGGTGCAGGATTTTGGACCTTTAACTTGTTTTAGTTTTCTCACTGTGGTGGCCCCAATGTTAACGAGGGAGAACGAGGGCAGCAAGAAAAGTGTGCGCAAAGTGGTGCAGGATTTTGTCCATCAACAGTATATCACTACATAAACATATCTCATCATCGCATCATCGCAATCCTGCGACGCTGCCAGGTGCGCACTCGTGAGGCCCTCGCGCACAATGGGGGGTTCGGTGACTCTCCTTGTCATGTTGGATCGGGAGATTGCATGACTTGCAATGACAATGAGTCATATTGCGTCTTCAACTCGGTAGATGGCAAACATGTGCAGCCACATTTTGCCTTTGCACTAGTCGTTTCCTGAAGAAAGACTTGCGCTCATGGATCCGGCTACGGAATGTTTTCTTGTGAATCGTCCAGTACATGGGTGCCGCGCTGGAAAGGATGACATCGATGACTACCTCCGCGATCTCTTTGTGTGAGAGCCACCAGCATCACAGTGCCACCGAAAGGCGAAAGACCTTGGATGGACCGTGCTGAAGTGCCTCACCAGCGAAGGGGCGAGTCCGATTGGGATGCGCTTTGTCGTCCACGTGCGTACGATGTTGTGTGGTACAGCTCGAAGTTGGAGCTGTTGGTAACATGGGTGTCCCCAGTTGATGGGTCCCTCGTACAGGGGTCTTTAGGCCTAAACTTTCGGGGTTCGCTTCGCCCTTCAAAGGCCGAGTCGAAGCACTAAATGCGGACATACCCGTATCAGTAGATGCTTGGTTTGCCCATGTTTGCCCTATAGAATCCATTAGAATCCTATAGATGGTTGAAGAACATCCTAGAACTACTGGATCCGACTTTTCCTCCCATGCCCTGTGTTTGTTCAGGTCGGGAAGGTGGTGTGTTTCGGTTGTTCCTTTCAGATTTGTTTTCAAGCGACGCGGCTCTTGATTGAGTCAAACAACATCAAACGTACGTGTGTCATCCCACCCAATGTTGCCCTGCCATGAATTCTTGTTGCCACCTGCGGCTTGGATGCACATTTGCTGCAGAGTTGCTTCCAACATATAGTAAAGCATGGAGAGACCGCACATATTCATTTGCTGTTACCCACATACCTACATGTGCTACACAGATCTAATTATTATGAAGCAAACACATTATATGTTCGTAAGACCACCCCGTATTTGTCGTGTAGCGAGATGTAACATGAGAGTCTTATAGGGGGGCTCCTGGCCTTACTACTAGGAGCAAAGGGCATCACTACGAACGGAGCGAGGGGCATCGCTACGAACGGAACAAGAACGCTGATGTTGAAGAGTCTTATAAGATTTGACAATTTCCGCTCCATTGGACCATCCGCCATGGCTGCCAAGAAGCGCTTGCAAGAGCTCTTCGAGACACTGGGATCAGAGCGATCGTGGAGCGGCCAGTCGTCCGGTCGACTCACAAAACCCACTGTATGGGGGTCCTTTGAGCTGTAGTGAGTGGGACAGACCCACAGAGTGGGTGGTCAAGCCGTGGTCACAGAGTTGTTTTGGGTTTTGCAAGTGTCCGTATAGTGACAGCGCACGGCCTGGCAGATGAATTATAGCGGTTTGTCGTATGGTTTCTTCCCTGTTCCGAGTAGAAGAAACTGGCAAAAGCATTGGTTTGAGTGCTATCCACCAGTAAGAACACTGATGATCACTGATGACATCCATGAAACTCTCGCGTATGCCTCTCAGTTGCAATCCTTGTGTTCATTACAACGACACATCTCACTCCACAGTAGGAAAGATACAGATACACTTCAATCACTTATCAGACAGGTGCAATCCTAGTCCTTTGAGAGTAAGGAGGCTTGAGATGCTTGAACATGATATTGGAGAGAGAGAGAGAGAGTCTCCCATCAGCTTGGAAACACGAGAGAATTGAACATGACCCGCAGGCATGTTGGCATGTCACCGCTTCCAAGGAAATATGATGCTGATGGAGATGGAGTATTGTCAGAAGAGGAGATGCTGGTGGTTTTTCAACAAATCAACCCGAAGTTGGCACAGAATCCTGGTTCAAGACTAGGAGCATGGCTTTCCAATCTCCTCAGGCAAAAGACATCCTGGATCATGTGAGTGTGTTCAATCACACGCATGTGGCTGATTTGGTCTCTAAACGAAGAGGAGGCTCTTCACTCTGTGGGTGACTTCAACACATATTTGCATGGCAGTGGATCTCGGTGGCTTTTTTGGACAGTGCACCTTCTGGTGAGACACGGTTGTGATTAGAAATAGAACCGTGCTAGATCTTTCAACAGTGGTGCCACCGGTGAACCGTGTGTGCCACGGTGGTGTCTCTCAGGATGGCCCCGCAAATCTTTGAGGCCAATGATACGAACAAAGATGGAGACTTGGACTCTGCAGGCAGAGACTCACCAAAAGAAGTCAGCACAGTATCTCGTGATCCTAGCATAACATGCTCTCTGGAGACCTCTTCGATTCCTTTTCCGACACCGGGTCATGGCAACCCCGTCGTGTCTTTGGTCTAGGCACTATACCATACTATACCACAGCTTGTTACATGTGGCATATCTTCCTACAACGAACGACATACGACGGACGACTCCTCCCGGGGCTCACCGAGGTGAGATCCAAGTGCACGAGTTCATCTCCTGGCTCTGCGGCTCCGCGGCCGCGGTGACGCCGCAGACGACGCCCAAGGGCCTGGACGTGCCGTGGCAGCCGTTGGGCGGGGTGGGGAGCTCTGGCAGAGATCGATTTTCAGTAGGGTCCTGGCAGGAAAGATTGGCTCCTATGTCAATCTTGGAAATTCGATGCTTCCTTTCATGGCAGGCAGGGGATAAGAGCTACATCACCTAACTGCTGGCCGCGTGCCGTGCGGCCGTAGGGCAATGGACCGCCCACCTTGGTGAGTCGACCGAGGAAGGATGACCCTGGTGTCAGTGTGACCATAGAACAATGGTATTGAGGGAAGTTGCTTGCGGTAGTGACGTAGTGTCTATAGCAAGTGTGTTCCTTTTTTGGTGTAAGAGGCAGAACATCAGACCTACAAATTTTAGTAAGACAAGTTAAGACATATTGACCAAGAACCTGTAGCAGGCGCCCCTGGGCATATGTCCTCAAACTGTTTTGATTCTCAGCCCGGTGAGCCGCTCCAAGGTGCTCATCACCAACACTTCTGATCCTCAGCCGAAGTACAGCCAGCTTCAAGTCACCGGATACAAGTTTGCATGTGGCCACGGCTCAAGGCTACATTCTGTGCAGGCTCCAAGGTGCTAAAGAAAAAGGCAAAGATCTTCCCATTTTCACCATGCAGTACAGTACTAACAAAGACGCTACTAGGAGCAAGGGGCAAAGGGCATCGCTACTAGGAGCGATCGGACGCTACTCGTACTAGGGGCTCCTGGCCGTAATACTAGGAGCAAGAAGCTACTAGTAACAGTACTTTGCTTTGATCCGGATGGATTGGAGTGATGGACTGATGGAGAGCTGTCACACATCGGTGTGGTGACACATCGGTGCGCTGAAAAAGTCTTCTCAGTTGTCTTGAGATGTCTTGAGATCGTTGTTTTGAGACCTTGGGATTTCTGGGAGTTGGGAAGTCAGGAGCCACTCACATGCACATCAGTTTTGGCAAACCAGAGGTTGTTTTGCCGCGCACCAGTCCAAAGGCTTTTGACTTTGGCTACCTAGGATCGGGTCTCGAAGTGTTTCTACTTCCATCTCCGGAACTGCGAGAATGTGGAGTTAACCAATGGCGAGCGACCCACCTTCGCGTTTTGACTGAAATAGACAGCCAATGGATGAGCATGTAAGCATGTCATGTCGGTTTGTGCCTTCCATGTCCATCCACGTCCTTCCTACCAGTGGGAAGCTTTCTGTGGAGCACCTGTGCGATGCCTGCCACAAGGTATGGGGAGCAAACAAAGTAAAATTGTATGGAATTGCTGAAATCCTCCACCACCTAGCATGAAGTGAACCCCCAGTGCAACATGAAGCTCGTCAAACCGTGGGACCCGTGGAAGAGACACGTCCGGTGGATGGTGTGGAGACGATTCCGGCAGAGACAGTCACCCGCTCGTTGACCAAGACAGTCACACGCACGGGGTTGCATCCACCCAGGTCGTGAAGGCAGGAGAGCAAGTGAGCAACCCGGAGAGATTCAGCTTGGTAATCTGTTTATGTTGTGAAGGAGTGTGCAGATTGATAGACTATTTTGATAGCACATGATAGCACAACCTGAGTCAAACCATGCTTAATTATCATGTTCATCTCTGTTCCGATTTGAGCTGGCCTTTGTTTCTCTCTATACACAGTAGAAACAACGATGTCGAAACCCCACACCCCACTGCCTCCGAGGCCAGTCGCTCCTCTCCTGGACGTCGCCAGGGGTGCAAGGGAAGTACTCCTTTCGATGGACCTCACGGGCGAAGTTCACCGGCGTAGAGGACGATCCCAACGCCTTCAAAGATCCAGACTTCCCCCATGACTCGTGTCTGGGTGGCTAAGAATCACTTGAGTTTGGTGGTGTGGTGGTGGCTTGCCATCAGCTGGACATAGTGATGTCCCCATTTTGGTGTTTGGTTCGAAAATTGGTTTGCCTGTGCCTGTTCGTGCCACGGATTCTGCCGGTTTTGCTTCGAAAATCACAATCCACGGGATTCGTGAGCTGTGACTCTTTGCGTTTGATCTTCCAAGCTAAACCTGCAACTGGCCACTGGCGACCACTTCACTAAACTCTGTAGATGGCCAGGATTGAACACCAGACCTTTGTAGCCACGCCCAGCCATGATCTCAGGTCCAGCGTGGGGGAGTCCCAGACCAGTTTCAAGGTGGGACAGCAACCCGAGTTCTGGATGCGTGCGCGGATGTTGGGAGACCCCTCAGAGGCCCTCCTCTTCGATCAGATCAACCCACAAGACATCCGAGACTCGGCGGAAGTCGGACGGGCTTAAGTCCAGTGATTCGGGGGGGGGGTACCCAGCGGGGTACCCTTGAGGTGGTGTGGAACTTGTGAAAAAAAGGTGTTCCAAGCAGTCTCCAGCCCTTGTTTGCTTGGAACTAGTGCACGATGTACCAGGTGTTTACATGAAAAAAGGGTCTGAAAGTGGCGGCAGGAACTTGAAACAGCACTGAGATCAAGTATGTCTTAGCTTCATATATGCTTGGCTGAGATATACAACCGTTGAAATAGTCAAGATCCTGACATGGCCATACTATTCAGCCCATGGCCATGGCTTGCTTTGGAAACTGTCTCAGGACAAGGAAACCTCAGTGATTGTTGGCTCATGAGTGCCCTTTCCTGCTTGGCGGAGCAGCCCTCGCGGATCCGGAAGCTCTTCAGTAGCAAGCACCTCACAGACGACGGGTCACTCGGTGCCGTGTAGCAGAGCGTGGTGTTTAATGCTAGCTTGAACTACTTGTTGTGTTTTTCCCAAACAAGCCAAAACACATGTAATAATACAAGTATAATCATGTATAATCTTAATGCCCATGAGTCATGATTAGAATTAGAATATTGTTGTATAAGATATAGAAATATATTGCTTTTGGCAGTACTTAGGTGCCTTCCATGAAGGTGTTTTGAAACGGAAAAGGCATCATTGAAGAGATAACTTGAACATTTAGAATGAGGATGATTGGCTCATACTGGTGTGGCCCTCACAAAAGGAAGACACGTTCATCTTGTATTTTATAGAGGCTGGGATGTTCAAAGGAACATAACATAAGGATCGGCATGGAAAAGGATGGGAGTCTGGCAGTGGCAGGAAATTGTCACGAGGAAACAAGGCTTGTGTAAACCGGATCGACTCTTTGGTACCACAGCAGCTCATATTTGATAGATAACATGCTTTTTTATTACTAACAGGATCATACATTTTAAGAAAAGGGGGTTACATACGCAGTAAGAAGCTTTTGCACAGGCATTCGTTTCTATAGGCCTCGGAAGCCAGTCGAGATACCCTGGCAAAATTTGTCCTTGGACATTGAAATGAACTGGTGTAAGCTAAAGATGCCGCAAAAACATGCAAAAACAGTCAAACCAAATGTTTGTGAAGTACCACTGACAAGCTGATACAAGCTGCATGGCAGGTGGTCGCAATCCGTTTGCAAATGCGCAACCGTTGGAAAGGTAGGTACATAAGGCAATAAGACACCAAACAGGCGCATGCTTGGGTACATTTTTTGGAGTTGCTTGACAGGAGGCCGTGTTGGTTGTCAGCTTTTGGAGGTGGCTACATGTGAAATTCCTGCCCGCTCGCTGCCGGGGCTAGCATCAATGTATATAACCACTAATCAAAGTAGGAGGACTGGGAGGCTAGGCTTGGTCGACCTGCGTGACAATGGCTTCAGAAAAAAAAGGAATGACGGATGTGTTTCGAGGGGTGTAAACCCGGGGCGCTGTAGCATACGTGGGTGGCATTGGCTTCCTAACTATGAACAAAGAGGTGCACTCCTTTTTGCTCCAAGCGAGCGGAATGCCAGTTCCCTATCAATGCGTTGCCAAAAGGGTTTCCCTGGCCCTTGTCCTAACACAAAAACATGTTCACACCCACCTGCTCACACTTAACATGGTATCTTCATAATACGGTATCTTCAAAACATGTTCCTGTGATTGATTTCTATACTAGTTGACCATGTGTGGTGTGTGCCCGTTTTTCGTACGGCCTCCTCCAGGAAGTACGAGATCTCCCTTTTTGATCCAGTGGACAAAGCTTGGCAAACGGTGGTGATCGATGAGTTCATCCCCTGCGTCAAGCAGAACGAAGAACCCAAAGCAGCCTTTTCCTATCCGGTGGGCGAAGAGCTTTGGGCGCCCTGATCGCAACTTTCGCTGGTCCCCGACTAGGCTCATGCTAAACGTTTCAACTAGCGATGGGAACGTGAGAGTGTGAAGGTCAGTTTGTAGGTCTTAGAGTACCAGGAGGATTTGTTCAAAGGAAGCCCCCTTTTTGCTTGTGACCGCCAAGGAGTAGACAGAATATATGTGTTTCAGTTTTTGGTGTCTAATTACCCTGTCAAGTTAGATGAATCTGGTCTTAATTGACACATTGATCCTATCAATAAGGGGTTGTCCACAGACGGTTCTGAACCATTGAACCACCTGAGAGTCTCGCCTGTGACACACATAATAATGTCAAACATGTGTGGTTTCTGGGTCGATGGCCTGTTCAAAAATGATGCCAGAGCCCGATTGGATCCCCCTATCATCCTCTATCATCCGCACCCCCACGTTCCTTTGCCTCACCCGATAGGACTGGGGGCTAGATTCTGGACTAGACAACTCTGACTTTGTTGCTGCTGGGCATCAACCAGCAGGCAACAAACAATGTCACAGACAATGTCACACATCAAACCCACAATGACAAAACAACACGTCCCCGTCCCCCTCCGTTGGCCCGACCCAAAAGTCGCACCAATGGCCCGACATGCACAGAGGACAACACCAAACGGTAATCACAACACACCACGCTTGACAATACACAAGGGCAAACGGGACAACAGCCAATGACATACATAGTACAGTAATACATAGTACCTCACAATGCGTGACAACACACCAGGACAAGCACGACAGCGCAGACAACAGAGAGTGACACACAGGTAACATAGTTTACACCACCCTATAGAGGTTCACATTGGGACAAAGCTGGTTGGATGGTGATAGCACGAAGTTTTGAGCAATCTATGATCTTTTGTGTTTCAACACCAGGTGCAGCTGCTGGAGAAGGCAGTTGCCAAGTTCTGCGGTTGCTATGGGATGTTGGCGGGTGGCAGTGCAGCCTGGGCTTTTATGGTCCTTACAGGTGGCGTGGCTCAACGGCCTCCGGTGCCCAGCTTAAGCCAGGTGTAGCACTTTAGTCTTGGGGAAGCAGCAGAGATGGGTCGGGGTATGCAAATGTTTATGTTTCAAGCTGTTTGCATTTGGGAGTTGGGAGAAGGTCTCACATTCCTGTCCGGCATGGTTCTAACATCAAAGAAGGTCTCACAGACCCGGGATTTTCTAACAAGACAGGTCCCTAAACAACAGAATTTAAAAGAGCAAATGGAGAAACGTGGATGGGACTCTCCTGGGTTTGATACATCACGGAATGGTGGTACTGTGGAACATATTGATCACCCTGCTTTTTTTTCATGTGCAATTTGGTTCCAACTTGTTTCAGCATTGTCCCTGCATAGAGATGTCAAAACCCACTAAAAAAACGAGAGACTGGGGGACGGTGATGCTGCACGAGGGCACGGAATCCACGGCGGCATGGGAAACAACTGAGCAGATCACCCAGTAAAACCTCTCTCCACAACTTTAGCCCGTGAAATTCTGCTGGATCTTTGTTTGGCCGAGGCGTCACCAATGTGATCTGCTACTGGAAGAAAAGTGGCACCTGGTACCGCCGCACTGCTTGTTGTCGCGCTGGCAAACGCGGTCCCAACAGCATCGGTTGGAAAGGACGATGGGTTCCGAAATGCCATCAAACAGGCTAGACTTGCCCTTCACCAGGGTAAATCAAAGTAGGTTCTCAGACCCAAACAGTCAAACCATTGGCAGGAGCAGGAGCTTTGAGTCTTCCTATGTTTGGTATTTTTCAACAAGTGGGCTGTTATATTTCATCTTGGTTGTGTGATTGGAAAAACAACGCTCACAATGCAACTTGTTCTCTTAGATGCGCCTTTGTTGGGCCACTGCATCATCTCAGAATCCCGCAAACATGTGCGTTTACAGAAGCCTGCCCCTCCTTCACGCCACGCTTGGGACACACTGGCGCTTTGCCCCTTGGATCATTGGGGGACCGCGCATTACACCGCGCAGGATTCGCCTCCGACACACATGAGGCGTCGGCAGTGTTTGAGCTGCTGAGCAAAGATGCAGCTGCCCAATATTGTGTCACATGTAGTGTCCAGGCAGGGACGAGGGGCCGGTGAGGTTGTGCGGACAACTAGAAAGGGGCCGGTAGGCTACGTCATGGTGATCGTTACAGGAAATGAGTTGGCTATTACATGAAACATAGTAGTTGAGGTGTTTGGTTATGATATGAATTCTGCGAAGCATGATTCTGGCAAGCATGTTTGTTTGTTCAAGGGCCAGGCTGAGTGTGCGGGTGAGGCGTAATTTCAGCCGTTGGTTGTCGTTCAATATATACTACATTATATCTATATCATGATATATGACACAAATCGCATATACCCTGCAAGTTAAAGACCATGTTGAAAAGGGTCTTTAGCTCATCTGAAGAGGAAATTCATGGAAATTCCTTTTTCCTTGTGGACTCCTAGGCTATATATGGATTCGACTCCATGGCACATCAAATTGACTATATAGTGTTTTGAGATGTTTTGAGAAAGAAATGAACAAGAGAGGACTTTGGACCGACCACAGGAACAAAACAAGTGCTGCTATACTTGAATATGTGTGTTGACCTCGCTGGATTTGTGGATTTGGATCACTGTCTATATCACAGGATCCCTGCTAAAGAACAGGCCGGGTTTTGCCATTAGTGCGACAACGTATCAGGGACCCTTGGGCCATCTGGGGCCTGTACCACCCAATCCAGTGATTACATCTCCATCACCTCCCTCTACTCTACTCAATGACTCCGATTCAGTCTGGACAAAAGACCGCCACATGCTAGAACCATACACTCCACAGCATTTGTCATGAGGAAGTCAAGGAGACTGAATCCTTTGCTTCGGAGACAGGGTCTGAGTTGTGGAGTGTTGTTTCCCTGGTTTCTGTGAAAATTCCAGTGATCCAAGGTATCCACGGTGGTGGAGCAGCCGAAGAAGATGCTCACGGCGTTGGCTTGTTCAACAACCATGAGTCTAGTCTCGCATGGCCATGAATCTCACAGGTATGGGTTGTAGGGGTGTTGAGGCGGACGGGTTAAAGGGGCTGCAAATAAAAAAAACATTTATATAAGTTATATACATTAAATGTTTGACCAATTGAGAAAAAACACATTGACCAGTTACAAATGGGAAGATCATTATATAAAACATATTAAAACCCTAACTTGTAAGGTAGAGTTGAGTGGGGTTGGCGAAGCGTAGGACCAGTGGCCCATTGACGGGTGACCCATCGGCTTACAACAACATCAACATAGAAAGTATGTTGATCTCTCGGGCGTTATTTTTCTGTTTCTGGAAACCAAAGGCGTCAAAGCCTTTTTCCACCAGGCACACACTTTATGTGATACATTTCCTGTTTCAGTGCCGGGCCGCTGCCGCGATCTCACGGATGTGCAATCATCACAACTGATTGTTTGTCCTGGAGCTTGGATTTACAGCTAGAGGCTGCCACCCCCACCAAACCAACCAGTTGTGAATCCATCAAACCAAACCAACTGTGAATCCCCCAGACCAAATCAGCTGGACCCCCCAAACCACCAACCCAATCTCTTTGGAGTCCAAGTTGTCATGTTTCCTTGTTTGCGATTCGCGCGGGCCGAGGAGTACTCCTTGTTGCAAGTCCGAGAGGAACAGCTCGACGATGGGACGCCGATGCGTTTCATGGTGCTTCGAAACCCCTGGGGCTGCTTAGAGTCCTGGATGGAAGTTGAGGCTCAAGGAAAGCAATCGATGAATGTTGATGGTCGTGTCCCATGCAATGTCCTCTTTGTCTGGCTTGTTGCTTTTATTGTACTGTGCTCTGAGAGAAGGTCTTTTTCGACTTGCCAGCGTCCAGTGGAGCCAACGCTTGCATTGTTTACAAAGCTTTGACACTTTGTACAAAGATGTACAAAGCACATGACGGTACATCACTGTCAAACCTGCACCTACTATATCAGCTCACAAGCCACTTATCCACCCTTTGGTTCGTTCACAAGGACCGCGTTGTTACGGCCAACGTCACCTTCATCGTCCGAGCTGAGGAGTTTCGCGGCGATTGGAGTGATCGGAGCGAGCTCTGGGAGCAGAATCCCCGGCTGAAGGAGCGCCTGAAGGTCACCGACAATAAGAACGATGGAAGGCCCTCAGGGCTGGTGGTTTACACCAGAAGATGATATATTATATATATATAATATATGTTGATTGCCTGTCAAGAAACCACACCGGTATGTGGTTAGATTGTTGTTGGGGCTTCGTGGAAGTTTCAGGGTTTCTTCTCATGTTCTTGGGAAACTGCTGCTCGTGCATTCATGTCAAGGTATAGCTTTGAGTTTAGGAAACCTCATGGAGCAGGTGCTGATTTGTTTGGACAGACGCTTGGCAGGTTTTACATCTCCTTCGACGATTGGGCCAAGTACTTCACCTTCGTGGTGATTTGCCCCCATGATGGCGGTGTGCAAAAGCGCCAGGAGAAGAGATCCAAGTGGACCACCTTGGGTCGGGGCCTTCAGGTGAGCACTGCCCTCGGAGAGACACCGACGCCCTCCATCGAGGCCGACGCTGCGTCGGGCTCCGCGTGGGCGGCGGCGAAGGGTGGCTCCTTGGCCTCGCTTGCAGGCTTCGCGGCACGTGAGGGCGAGGTGGCCGAGGAGGAGGCCGATTGGATCATTGGTTGAGGATCTCATCACCTGGCTGGGATATGACGACAGGACTTTGGAGGCCATGAAAAGGAGCAAGTCTGTTGGCCTTGTTGGATCAATTGAAGCGACAAGATCTGAAAGCTGGCGCATGGCTTTCGCACAGCCTTTTCCAAGGCTACAGGCTTCCTGGCAGAACAGCGTCATTACTTGTCATTGAAGCGACGAACTCTGCGGAGCCGGAGCTGAAATATCCACGCTGCCAGGTGTTCTGTGTTTCTTGAAAGATTATCTAAGGGAAGAAGCTGGAAGAACCGCAGTGATCAAACAAATGGAACCTTTGGTCAACAGTTTCTTGTTCGACAGGGCACACCCTCTGACATGTTCGGTGGACCTACTATTCTGAATTCATGCATCTCCACTTTCCCAAATCTCTTATTTAAATGTCATTTCGAACATCTGGTCGGCTCCCACAGAAAAACCTGGTGAGTGCTCTTCTCACGGTCCGGCCACAAAGCTGGCCCGATCCTAACTTGTTATTTAACGCCACTCTTTTGAACCGTGAAATTCATGTGACTCAGACCAAATCGTGGGTAGAGAGGCCTTGGGGACTAGCAGAGCTTGCTGACTGTTTTGGGCTTTCGACGGGGTGGCGGCCACTTGTTCGGAGTTTAAGACATGGAGCTGAGTCGACTTGAAGACCCAAATCTTGGGAGTTGAAGTCCGCAGTTCAAGTCTTCGAGGATCTTGGAGTTGAAGACTCTAAGACGTCCTTCCTGCTCCGAAAACCCAATTCAAAGAGTTGGATGATGTTGGGCGCGCTAGAGAACATGGATTTGCAGGGGTACCTTGGTTGGGCGATCCAAAACAGCCTGTTCAAGGTTTGCTGTGCAGCCAATCATGTCGACTTGCGTTCAAATCTTGCAACGTCTCAGAGTTGCATTCCATCATTGCCGCAGCATTTCAGTGGAGCTTTGAGTTGATGTTGCATGGGCAGCAAGTATAAGACATTGGTCCATTGGTGGCCAGATCTCTTGTTTCCACAAGATTGATCCGTCGGACTGTCATGGCCGTTCAACTTGCCGGCGTGCGCCTTGCGGCGCATGGGGTTTGCCGAATTTGCGTGGACTCCAAGACCGCAACCGCGTGCTAAAGCCTTTGATAAATCAAAGAGTTGGAAAGAGTCTATAATTGGTTACTTGTTCAACAGTAATATCATTTCTATAACCATGTTTTGGTAGGAACAGGGCATTTTTGGGCGGTTGGTATAAGAATGTATAAGAATGTATTATAAGATTGATTTTGCATTTCGTGTTGTGTTGCCCTCAATTTGTGATCAATGGCCATGAACCGCCTGTTGGTAGGAAAATATCCCACAAGGAGGATGGGTGTAGACTAGAAGCTCCTTTGGTTGGAAGGCATAGCTTTTCAGAGAAGGTTATGGAGTGCTGTTCATTTCATACATTATGTACTCGACAGGAACTTGGCTTGCGGTTGGAGATCATGTTTTCCGCCTGGACCATGGACTCCTCCATATTATCAAGATCTTTCCCGGAACAAACTACCCTGAGAACTAACAAACATTGGTTGTCCTATCGACCTTAAGGCCCGAAGTGTAGATACACCGGAGTTCTAAGTGGTTCACTGGTTTCTCCCACTACACATCTGGCGAAGCACCAAATCCTGGCACCTGGATGCGAACACACGAAGTCAACTTTGTAAGATTTGGTCAAATGATTTCGCAATAATACATCCATCAATCAATCCTGAACCCCGGAAATTTTATTGAGAGGCTGCTTCTCCCTTGTGCCAGAAGCAGTAGAAACAAATGATGACGAAGTAGAGACAATCTCGACACTCCAGATTGAATTTTATGGATACGATTACAATCGTTGGAGTCACTTTTGCCCGTGTTTGGTGACTATCGGATCGGACATGTCCCAAGTTTGTTCATTTGCTGGATGCGAATTGAAGGGTACCCATAAGCAACTGCAGTTGCGAAACATATGTTCAACATTCACTTTGGAGGGACAGTTAAACGGCATTGTCATTTTTGTTCAAATCCATTTGTTGTGGAAGAAGAGATCTTGCTACCAACCCAATGACCACCACACATAGATGGCCGCATGTGTTCCAAGCAAATCCACGCATGCGGTGTGTCCAAATCAGAAGGACTCTCCAAATTTCCCATGCTTCAGATACGAAGCAGGTAAGTTCCCCCTATATTTACGCACACTCACAGACATTGCCTTCGTGGCTTTGATGTCCCATTTTCCCTTACAAGTGGATCCGCCTAGCCTGTTGGGCCGCAGGACCTGTTGTTCCAGCCCGAGGCTGATGTGAAGAGCGCACCGGCGCACCTTGAAGACTCTTCAGGAACTGGACCTGGCCAAAGGAGAGGAAGAGCCGGTGATGTTTGTCGTTCGGAGATGACCCTTTTGGTCCCTTGGTTCCCAATCAGCCGGAGGAGATTCAACAGCTTGTAGTTAGTTTTACCGGTGTTCTAGAGAATGTAGCAAGCAGCGGAGTGTTTGCGTTTGTGGGCTTGGGTTGGAACAACTTTTGCTGGACACATAGACATGATACATTGGTGATATGCATTCTGGGATTGCTGTTTTGCTTTCTTCAGGTAGTATGGTGTCTCCAACCGCCACACCATGCTTCGGGTGCCGTCCACGCCGCTGTACGGGCACCGCACCGCAGGACGTGCTGACGGGTCGGAGGTGAGACTGGCGGGTTGCTGGTTGGGGCTTGAAAGGATGGATCGCCGTGAGTGGTTGGGGAGAAGGGATGTGTGTGGCACCGTTTGGGGCATGAAATGCAGTGTTGGCAGAGATTCCTCACAGAGTGGTGGATTGGAGGCTTCTTTGATTCTTGCTATATACAGAGTTGCTCTAGGGGCGGCTCTTTATCGCGTTTACAGTTGAGGGAATTAAACATCCTCCAACAGTGTCCATTGCCCTTCTTGTTGTCAAATCAAGGAACTGCCAAACCATGGCAGGTGAGCGCTGAGATTTGGCAAACCGGCACTCCCGCAGTTGAAGTCGCATAATTGCTGCACGCTTGTTCGCTTTTCAAGGTCGTCAACGCAGTCAGCACGGTTTTTCATTAGATGACACAAAGCCACAGACCCATTTCATGGGGGCCAATCAAATGCCCCAACGGAGTTTGCCATGAGGCAGCGGCTACGGCGACTACAACCAGGTTGGCGATTCAGGCGCAACAGGGATGGTCATCTGTCGACCAGAGCAACTCCGTTCTTGTTAGGCTCAAGGTCTCAAGCGGTAAGACGTTGTTGGAGAGTGGTGAAGCTCTTTGAATTCATGTTGTCAAGTTGCTAGAGTGGTGACCATGATCTACTACTGGCAGAACTCTGGCTCAGCGACGCTGGCACTGGCATCCATCCGCATCATGTTTGTTTGGCACATATATTCAGCAGTGGACAAAGTTCACCTGTCTATACACTTTCCAGCTTTTGGTCATAGCTCAGATAAGCCTGAAGTGCAGAGCATGGCGGACCACCAGGCGTCCCTGCTGCAACAGCCGCTTGGTGGGTGAAACGCGAGTGGTGTCAATCCATCAATCCATCAAAACGTATATCGAACCTAAGATCTTCATCCGGGTGAGGAGGTGATCACTCTGCAAGCTTTGGCGTTAATATATGCGTTAATCGAATCATAGTGACGCAAGAGTCTCAGCCGGATGATTTGTCCTCTATCCGGGGCAAGCCTCCTGCACAATAGTAACTAGTCTACGGATGTCTACGGTATAAAGCCGCTGTAAACAACGGCACAAATGGGTTTGGATGGTTTCGAGTCTATTTCTCTTCTTCGGGGAGTTCTTTGGGAGGTCTCCCTATATTCTAATGCACACAACATGCTCATCCATGTTTTAATTTGTGGAGCTTTGACTCAGAGTCGAGTCTCAAAGTACGGACTCCCTCAAACCATGTGCTGAACGGAGTTTAACGTGACGAATGACCGTTCCATCTATAAGTTTCCATCGTTTTGCTTTCTTGATGGCACGCACACAACAACTGTACAGTAGAGGTGCACACATCTATCCTGTGAGTCCACCTGTGGAAAGCCACATGATTCAAGCTGGCATAAACATGCATAAATTGTAATTATACCATTCTTTGAGCCCGCGCCATCTCTCGAGGCTTCAAGACTTCCGTGCCAGCGGGTTCCGCTGCGACGTCACGCTGCAAAGCCGCGATGGGCGCCTTCACCATGGCCATGTCCTGGTGCTGTCGCTTGGATCGATTGTGAGATGTATCTCAGGTGAGTCGAAGTTCCACGGCTGCTGAGCTGGTCATGGCAGGAATTTATGTTGTGGCTATAGCAATAGAAGCAATACCTGAGTTCTTCCCGGTTTAGCAGACATGATGTCAAGTCCTTTCTCTTTTGGTGTCGGTCCCAAGAGCTAATTATGCCTCAGCATCTTGTTTCAAGGTGTTGGATTCTTGATCTCAGGCCCTGGCAGTGGATTCAAAGGATTTTGTCGCTGTTGCGATTGACCACATCTCATACCGACAAGATTGCAACGAACAACATGCTCTATGGAACCATTGAATGTCAAAGCCAAACTGACCAAACTACTTAGATTCCAGCGGGTCACCAGGCTTTCCCTGGATACTAATTACTGTCATGTACTGTCAACCGTATGGTGCCACAGATGACAACAACAGATGTCCTTTCATTGCTAGACTGCTAGACTCTGAGCTTCAAGTATGGTCTATCTAGCCTTAGGATTTGAAAGCAGATTGGTTGCCCAGATTTTGCCCTAGAGGTTTTGAACTGTTTTTCCTTCCAGCATTTTTCAAGACATCCTAAGGTTTAACCTTACTGTGCCACAGATGACAACCACAAACGTCCTTTCATTGCTAGACTTTGAGCTTCAAGTATGGCCTATCTAGTCTTGGGGTTGGAAGCCAAATTGTTTGCCTGGATCTGCTGCCGGTTTTTGAACTGTTTGGCCTTCCAGCAATTTTCAAGACATGCTCAGGTCTGCTGCAAGCTCCGTGCTCAAAGCCATGCTTTGCGGAGATTTCCACGAATCGCAGATGGTGCAAACCGGAGGGGCGGTGAACATCGATGCGTCCGGTGGTGCCGTTGCCGCCTTTTTGGATTCTTAGAATTTGATTCAGGGGTAATATGGCCTGGAGGGTACGGGTACATTGAAACTAAGAGGGGTCAGACAAAGTCTGCTTCTTTTTCAATGCCACTTAAATTTCGCTGCAATTTGTGGTTGCGCATCAGTTATCCCTTGACAACGTAGGAAGCACATTGGTAATCTTTGAGTTTTGCCAACTTCCCTGCGACCTGAACCGAACGGATTCTTGCGCAAACAGTGTGGATCCGGCGGAAGTGCAGCGTTGAGGTTGTTGCTCATCCGTGCGCTGGAGACGAGCAGAACATGTGCCCCCCCCGGTATTTGCGGCATGTTATAGACGGAACATGACGGAACAGATGTCGAACTCCCCTCCTGAAGGTTGCTCTTTGTCTTGCATTGGCCAAGTGAGGACTACATTTATGGAAAAGAAACATGCATTGAGACTCTCGAGACTACTGATGATCAAGTGGAGCTGCTCCTTGGGTGGGTCCAAAAAGGTTTTTTGCTGTATAACTGAAGTGGCAAGAATGCAATATGGATCAGTTTTAGTCCATGAAAGGTAGTCAGGGACACAATGAGCTTGAGGCTGAAACTCGCAAGCTCCTATGGTTTGCCGAATCTAGCAGCCCGTCTTGCCTCCGAATGGCAGGCATCGCTGGACAGCGCAAGTGCACTGAAGCTTTTGCCTCACATTTGGACTCACAGTGAGTTTAGCGATCTCGCAGACTCGTGTGAACAGCAGATCCTGGACGATTTTGCGCTATGTGTTGAAAGCGCGGACTTTCTCAACCTGACGGCCGGGCAGCTTGGAAGGATTTTGCAAAGGAATGAGCTTCATGTTGCGAGGGAGGAAACAGTCCTTCAAGGCGTCTTCAAGTGGGTCGGCGCGTCAAAAGCAGAGAGAACATGTCACTTGGAGCTGCTTTTGCAGAACATTGATTTTCCATCTATGTCAGTGGCAAATCTGAAGCACTTGAGCCGTTTCGCCCAATCTGCCGGAGCCGCAGGCCCTGGTTTGAGCAGGGATGTGAACGGTGCCTTGCGCCGTCACCGAAAGCGTCAAGCCGATGGATCGTCGGAGAAACACCAGCCAAAAAGACGTTGTCTAAAGAACTGGTGCCCGGATGTAGGCGCTGACAGCGACAGTACTTGCCAGCCAGTCACTCCCCCTGTGTGCGGTCTCGGCTTTTGCTGGCACGACGGTGCCCTCTACATTGCAGATTGGTCAAGCAAGAGGGTTCTTCGTTGCAGACCAGGTGAGAGTGAATGTCAGATTGTGGCGGGGGGGGGGGCCACTGTCAACGGTCACAACCAACTGCATAGGCCTTTGGACGTGGCCGTTTCACCATCAGGTGACGTCTTTGTCGTGGACTGCGAGGCTCGAGTGCGCTCATTGGTGAAATACTCAAACGGCCATGGTCAAGTGTTGTTGCAGACACCAGGCTTGTGTCGTGTGGCTTGCTCGCCAAATGGAATGCTTTATGTTGTGGACGATGATTGGAAGAAGGTGCAGCGAGTCGATGGCTCAGTGCTCACACCAGTGCTGGACAGCAGCAACCTTCTCAAAGATAAACATTTCAGAGCTGTTAGTCTTCGTGTCACGAGCGAGGAGACTGTCTACCTCAGTGATGGTCGAGGGAAACGAGTGCTACGCTTCAGTCCTGGTAGCCCACAGCCCACCACTGTCGGAAGCATTCCGCAGGAAGGTGCGCGAGGTTTGGCAGGGTTGTTTGTGACGGAGAACCAGATCTATGTCACAGACCCTGTGCGTAAACGCATTTGGGTGTTGAATGAAGGCGAGACCACCGGCGTGCAACTGGACCTGGCGCTTCCAGACGGTGTTGTGCCGTTTGATGTCATGCTGCAACGGGACTCGATGTATGTTCTCCACTATGAAGTAGACAACCCAGAAAACATCCAAGCTGTATACCGCCGTTGCTTGCCACCAGAACTTGTTCTGGATACTGCCTTTGCCCCAGGAGGTGCTCAATCCGCTGAAGATACTTGATGTAGTTGAGGGTAGCGCACCTGCGCCATCTTGCGCCCACATGAGCGTATCCGGAAAGACTGTTGCTTGTGCTCCATGGTTCGACTCAGATATTGGGTTGTCCGATCGATAGCACCCGCTTTTGATACCGGGCTTTTGGAACGGTCAATAGTCGTTTGCCTTTTGATACAGGTATGGTGCAGTTATTTGGATTGATTGGAGCCAAATTGTTTGATCACCCATCCGGCACAATCCAGCATGGATAGCTAGCTGAGGCACTAGGAGGGTTTCCATTTGCGTAATCTTTAGTTCCTTGCTTTTGTTTCAGAATTTCGAGCTTACTGTACATTGTTTTTGCTTGCGAGGCCCAGGAATTTCCAATGTTGGTTGGAAGTTTGCGCACGGTGTCGGGCACCTTTCGGAAGGGAAACCGGTCTGATTCATGTTGACTTTATATTTACATCGTTGAGGTGGATTTGGAAAGTCATTTGGTTCAGATTTGTGGTTTGCGCCCTGCTTCCCAAGGAACCAGGGCACCTATACCCACCTTGTCATCCTTTCCCGTCTTTTGTTGGTGTTGCGCGCCAGGTGCAACGGCGTCAGAGGCAGAGTGTGAGGCTTGAGGGGATGAGATGGAGATGGCCGCAGCTGGTAGTTTGGACCACGTTTGGGGGACCTTTGATCCGAAACCATTCGGATTGCTGTCGCACCCACCACATGGCCATGATCCAGTGAAGGCGCATGTTGAGGGCAAACATGACATATATCATATATAGTTGATGAATTGAAGGGTTTCCAAAGAGACCTGTCGCCAAAATACAATTTGTTGCAAAAGTCCCTAGCAGCCTTCGAAGTGTAGAACGTCACAGAAGGTTTGGGGCGAACTTGTTTTTCCCATGATGGTTCGATCTCGAAGACAAACAGATGAACCATCCGATGACCCTGAGCTATCCCTCTACTTCATAACTAGACCATATGCAAGAGGTGACAGCGCGCAACGTGTGTATTGTCTCCATCTCCACAAGCCTACCCATCCGCCTATTTGTCACGCAGAAGCTTGGCTCAGTGGCACTGGCATCAATGTGCTTCTCGGGTTTTGACACATACAGCGGCGGCCAAAGTCCGCCATAGATGACAGAATTCGTAACCTACCTGGTACCTGGATAAAGGGTGTTCTTTTTTGTCTAGCTCCACTGAGTCCGAAAGAGGCAAGCTGACTGGTGCCATGAAGCTTTACCCGAATTTGGCGGATCACCAGGTGTCCCTGCTGCAACAGCCACTTGGTGGGAGAAACGTGAAGATAGTGGGATATCCCATGTTGAACATTCTTGGCGCGAACCCTCAAGAATTCAATCCATCGATCCATCAAAACGTGTCGAACCTAAGATCTTCATCCGGGTGACCAGGTGATCTACGGCAGAAACCATCAGATTCTGACTTGGAGATGTCCATCGTTTTGTTTGGAAGCGTGAGTCCACACGTGGAAACCCACATCACTCAAGATGCCATAAACTGATTATATACCATTCTTCGAACCCGCGCCATCTCTCAAGGCTTCAAGACTTCCGGGCCAACGAGTTCCGCTGCGACGTCACGCTGCAAAGCCGCGATGGGCGCCTTCACCAAGGCCACGTCCTGGTGCTGTCGCTTGGATCGATTTTTAAGATGTATCTCAAGTGAGTCGAAGTTCCACGGCTGCTGAGCTGGTCATGGCAGTTATTTTGTGGCTGTGGTGGCTCTACCTGAGTTCTTCCCGGTTTAGCAGACATGATGTCAAGTCCTTCCTTTTTTGATCTTTTTTGGTGTCAGCGCCAACAGCTGACTATGCCTCACGGTGTTGCTTTCTCGGTCTCGGCCCATTGGACCTCAATTTGTGCCCCCGTTTCGATCATGACAACAAACAGATAACGACTGACACGTCCCAACTGATTGCCAAGGACAAAATCCAATGACATCAAATGAATCCATCACATTCACATAGAGTCTTAGAATCGGTCAAACCAAATCGGAGCCAATCAAACACCCCAGGTTTTCAAGTAACACATGTTGCGCCATCAAAGTGTCCAACTCACCGAAAAGAAATCGCTAGACTCCGAACTTCAAGTATAGCCAAATTGTTTGCCACGATTTGCTGCCAAGGCTGCCACGGTCATTGAACCTTTTGATGTTCCAACGGTTTGACAGAAATCCTTAGGTCCGCTGCAAGCTCCGTGCTCAAAGCCATGCTTTGCGGAGATTTCGTCGAATCGCAGATGGTGAAGACTGGAGAGTCTGTGAACATCGACGCGTCCGGTGGTGCAGTCGCCGCCTTTTGGATTCTCGGCTTGATTCTGTGGGTGTCAGATTCAAAAACCGCTGTCGTTCTGTTTGAGCAGGGATCACGCAATAGTATTTGCAAAGCCTCCATTTTAAGCCCCCATCTATTTAGCTGCGTGTTTTGTTTGCTTATCAGTCATCCCCATCCTGAGCAGAACTAAATCTTGCACAAACAATGTGAATCCGGCGAAAGGGCAGCGTTGGGGTTGTTCATCCGGCATCCTTTGTTTGATACTGGCTATTTTGTTGGAGACGAGCAGCACATTGGCGGGTATTTGTGGCACGTTCAATGAAAGCAAATGTGGAACCCCCTCCAGCGTGCTGTTATATATTTGATGTGAGTCTTTCATTGGCAAAGTGAGGATTACATTTACGGAAAGGAAGTATGCATTGGCACTACTGACGATCAAGTGGAGCTGCTCCTTGGGTGAGTCAAAAAGACGTGTTTTTGTTGATTGAAAAGCAATGGGTCAACTTTAGTCCATACAAGTAGTCCCGGAGACGATGAACTTGAGGTTGAAACTCGCAAGCTCCTATGGTTTGCCAAATCTAACAGCCTGCCTTGCTTCAGAATGGCAGGCATCGCTGGACAGCGCAAGTGCACTGAAGCTGTTGCCCCACGTTTGGACTTACAGCGAATGTTGTGATCTCGCACACGCATGTGAACAGCAAATCCTGGGCGACTTTGCACGATGTGTTGAGAGTGAGGACTTTCTCAATTTGACGGCTGGGCAGCTCGGAAGGATTTTGCAACGGAATGACCTCCATGTTGCGAGGGAGGAAACAGTCCTTCAAGGCGTCTTCAAGTGGGTCGGCGCGTCAAAAGCAGAGAGAACATGTCACTTGGAGCTGCTTTTGCAGCATATCGATTTTCCATCTATGTCAGTGGCAAATCTGAAGCACTTGAGCCGTTTCGCCCAATCTGCCGGAGCCGCAGGCCCTGGTTTGAGCATGGACGTGAACGGTGCCTTGCGCCTTCACCGAAAGCGCCAAGCCGACGGATCGTCGGAGAAACCAGCCAAAAAGACGTTGTTTGAAGCATTGGTGCCCGGATTTAGGCGCTGACAGCGACAGTGCTTGCCAGCGAGTCACTCCCCCTGTGCGCGGTTTCGGCTTTTGCTGGCACGACGGTGCCCTCTACATTGCAGATATGTCAAGCAAGAGGGTTCTTCGTTGCAGACCAGGTGAGAGTGAATGTCAGATTGTGGCAGGGGTGGGGGCCACTGTCAACGGTCACAACCAACTGCATAGGCCTTTGGACGTGGCCGTTTCACCATCAGGTGACGTCTTTGTCGTGGACTGGGAGGCTCGAGACCGCCGCTCGCTGCTGAAATTCTCAAATGGCCATGGTCAAGTGCTGTTGCAGACACCAGGCTTGTTTCGCGTTGCTTGCTCACCAAATGGAGTGCTTTACGTTCTGGACAATGTTGGCAAGAAAGTGCAGCGAGTCGATGGCTCAGTGCTCACACCAGTGCTGGACAGCAGCGACCTTCCCGAAGATCAACGTTTCGCTGCAAGTCAATTGTTTGTCACGAGCGAGGAGACTGTCTACCTCAGTAATGGTCGAGGGAAACGAGTGCTACGCTTCAGTCCTGGTAGCCCACAGCCCACCACTGTCGGAAGCATTCAGCAGGAAGGTGCGCGAGGTTTGGCAGGGTTGTTTGTGACGGAGAACCACAAGATCTATGTCACAGACCCTGTGCGTAAACGCATTTGGGTGTTGAATGAAGGCGAGACCACCGGCGTGCAACTGGACCTGGCGCTTCCAGACGGTGTTGTGCCGTTTGATGTCATGCTGCAACGGGACTCGATGTATGTTCTCCACTATGAAGTAGACAACCCAGAAAACATCCAAGCTGTATACCGCTGTTGCTTGCCACCAGAACTTGTGCTGGATGCTGCCTCAGCCGGAGGTGCTCAATCCGCTGAAGATACTTGATGTAGTTGAGGGTAGCGCACCGTGGCCCTTGCGCCCACACGAGCGTATCCGGGAAAGATTGCTGCTTGTGTTCCACCGTTCGACAGTGCGACTCAGATATTTTGTTGGGTCGTCCAATGATGGATAGCATCGCTTTTGATACCGAGCTTTTGGACGGGAATCCAATGTTTGCCTTTTGATACAGGTCCAAGTATTGGTACGGTGCAGATATGGATTGATTGAAGCCAAATTGTTTGATCACCCATCCGGCACAATCCAGCATGGATAGCTAGGAGGGTTGGTTTCCATTTGGGTAATCTGTACTTACTTGTTGCTTACATTGCTTTTGCTTGCAAGGCCTAGGGCCTAGGTCCAATGTTGGTTAGAAGTGTGCACATTTCGGAAGGGAAACGGGTTTGATTATGCTTCATGTTGATTGCTTACATCGTTGAGGTGGATTTGGAAAGTAAATTTGTGTCAGATTTGTGGCAACCCGCTTCCCAGGGCACCTCTACTACCACCTTGTCATCCTTCCGGTCCTTTGTTTCCCGGGTGTTGCGTGCCAGGTGCAACGGCGTCAGAGGCAGAGTGTGGTGAGGCTTGAGGGGGGAGGAGATGGAGATGGTCGCAGCTGGTAGTTGGATTCAGAGGCGTTTGGTTGAACATGTTTTGGAGACCAGCTCTGGACCGACCCAGCAAGAAGGTGCATGTTGGGGTCAGTACAGTACTTGAAGGTTCATCCGCACGGGGGGGTGTCGAATGAATGAGATCTGTCTCCAACATGCACTTCTTCACAAATGTCCGAAGCAACTCTTGAAATTTGTCGAACCTTGTAGAAGGTTTGCGGAAAATCGGGACAATGTGTTTTCCATGATGGCTCGATCTCGAAGACAAACAGATGAACCATCCGATGACCCTGAGCTATCCATCTACTTTGATAACTAGACCATGCGCAAGAGGTAACAGGTCTCAATCTCCACAAGCCTATACCCATCCGCCTGTTTGTCACGCAGAAGCTTGGCTCAGTGACACTGGCATCAATGTGCTTCTCGGGTTTTGACACGCACAGCGGCGGCCAAAGTCCGCCATAGATGACAGTAATCTGCGGTACCTGTGTAAAAGGTCTTTTCTTTTTGCGGTCTAGCTCCACTGAGTAGCATTGCAATCCTGTAAAACGCTCTGGCACACGATTCAAATCCGAAAGAGGCACGCTGACTGGTGCCATGAAGCTTTACCCGAATTTGGCGGATCACCAGGTGTCCCTGCTGCAACAGCCACTTGGTGGGAGAAACGTGAAGATAGTGGGATATCCCATGTTGAACATTCTTGGCGCGAACCCTCAAGAATTCAATCCATCGATCCATCAAAACGTGTCGAACCTAAGATCTTCATCCGGGTGACCAGGTGATCTACGGCAGAAACCATCAGATTGAGGTCACATATGTCACAGTAGGTGTTTGATGGTTTTTGTAGCACTTTGACTTGGAGATGTCCATTTGTTTGTTTTCAAACTGCCCACTTACTCATTTGAGTCCATGGACACCCGTCAAGCATTTTGAATAGTATGGACACTCTAACATGAACAATGACCATCACAGTTACTGTAAGTGTCCATGGTCTTGCCTTTTGCGGAAGCTACTTACTCGCATACAGCAGTACAGGTGCACAGATCTATCCTGCGTGAGTCCGCCTGTGGAAACAGACTTGTATCATTCAATCTGAGATGAACATAATAGTTACCATCCTTCGAACCCGCCACATCGATCTCTCCAGGCTTCAAGACTTCCGGTCCAACGAGTTCCGCTGCGACGTCACGCTGCGAAGCCGCGATGGGCGCCTTCACCACGGCCACGTCCTCGTGCTGTCGCTTGGATCGATTTTTGAGATGTATCTCAAGCGGGTCGAAGTTCCACAGCTGCTGAGCTGGTCATGGCAGGAATTTATTGTGTGGCTGTGGTGGCTATACCTGAGTTCTTCCCGGTTTAGCAGACATGATCTCAACTCATTTCTCTTTCGGTGTCAGTGCCAACAGCTGATTATGCCTCAGGATCTTGTTTCAAGGTGTTGGATTCTCGGTCTCGGACCATTGGACCTCAAAGGATTTGATTGACCACCTCTCGTGACACCACCACGGACAACGACACATCACAAAGGATTGCGACGGACAACAAGTACAATTGACAAAGCCAAAATGACTAAACCATAGATTCCAGCAGGTCGCCACATTTTCTGGATACTACTGTCAACCATACTCTGCCACAGATGACAACAACAAAAGTCCTTTCAACGCATTTCATCGCTAGACTCTGAGCTTCAAGTATGGCCTATCTAACCTTCGGGTCGGAAGCCAAATTGTTTGCCGCGATTTGCTGCCGGTGTTTGAACCTTTTGGCCTTCCAACTGTTTGACAGAAATCCTTATAGGTCTGCTGCAAGCTCCGTGCTCAAAGCCATGCTTTGCGGAGACTTCCACGAATCGCAGCTGGTGAAATCCGGAGAGGCCGAGAACATCGATGCGTCCGGTGGTGCCGTTGCCGCCTTTTTGGATTCTCGGAATTTGCTTCACGAGGGCCTTATGGTGCTTTTGTTTGAGCACGGATCATACAACAGTGTTTGCAAAGCCTCCATTTTCAGCCCCATCTATTTACTGCGTGCTTTGTTTGCTTATCAGTCATCCCCATCCTGGGCAGAACTAAATCTTGCACAAACAATGTTAATCCGGCGAAAGAGCAGTGTAGAGGTTGTTGGTTGTTGTCCATGCGTACCATCCTGTTGTTTGATACTGGCCTTCTTGTTGGAGACAAGCAGAACTTGCGGGTATTTGTGGCATGCTCAATGTTAGACAGAGCAAATGTGAAGCCCCCCCCTGCGTGTTATTGCTTGATGTGGGTCTTTCATTGGCCAAGTGAGGACTACATTTACGGAAAGGAAGCATGCATTGACACTACTGACGATCAAGTGGAGCTGCTCCTTGGGCGAGTCAAAAAGACGTGTTTTTGTTGATTGAAAAGCAATGGGTCAACTTTAGTCCATGCAAGTAGTCCTGGAGACGATGAACTTGAGGCTGAAACTCGCAAGCTCCTATGGTTTGCCGAATCTAACAGCCTGCCTTGCTGCAGAATGGCAGGCATCGCTGGACAGCGCAAGCGCACTGAAGCTTTTGCCCCACGTTTGGACTCACAGCGAATGTTGTAATCTCGCGAAATCATGTGAACAGCAGATCCTGGGTGACTTTGCGCAATGTGTTGAGAGTGAGGACTTTGTTCATTTGACGGTTGGGCAGCTTGGAAGCAACTTGCAAAGGCATGACCTTCATGTTGCAAGGGAGGAAACAGTCCTTCAAGGCGTCTTCAAGTGGGTCAGCGCGTCGACAGCAGAGAGAGCATGTCACTTGGAGCTGCTTTTGCAGAACATTGATTTTCCATCTATGTCAGTGGCAAATCTGAAGCGCTTGAGTCGTTTCTCCCAATCTGCTGGAGCCAGTGGCCCTGGTCTCAGCAGGGCAGTGAACGATGCCTTGCGCCTTCACCGAAAGCGTCAAGCCGATGGATCGTCGGAGAAACACCAGCCAAAAAGACGTTGTTTAAAGCACTGGTGCCCGGATTTGGGCGCTGACGGTGACAGTGCTTGCCAGCCAGTGACTCCACCTGTGTATGGTTTGGGCTTTTGCTGGCACGACGGTGCCCTCTACATAGCAGTTTTGTCAAGCAAGAGGGTTCTTCGTTGCAGACCAGGTGAGAGTGAATGTCAGATTGTGGCAGGGGTGGGGGCCGCAGTCAACGGTCACAACCAACTGCACTCGCCCATTGATGTGGCCGTTTCACCATCAGGTGACGTCTTTGTCTTGAACATGGAGGCTCGAGACCGCCGGTCATTGCTGAAATTCTCAAATGGCCATGGTGAAGTTTTGTTGCAGACACCAGGCTTGACGCGTGTGGACTGCTCGGCAAATGGAGTGCTTTACGTTGTGGACAATGATGGGACGAAGGTGCAGCGAGTCGATGGCTCAGTGCTCACACCAGTCCTGGACAGCAGCGAACTTCCCGAAGATCAACGTTTCATTGCAAGTCAATTGTTTGTCACGAGTGAGGAGACTGTCTACCTCAGTGATCTTCGAGGGAAACGAGTGCTACGCTTCAGTCCTGGTAGCCCGCAGCCCACCACTGTCGGAAACTTCCAGCAGGAAGGTGCGGTAAGATTGGCAGGGTTGTTTGTGACGGAGAGCCGAAAGATCTATGTCGCAGACCTTGCGCGTAAACGCATTTGGGTGTTGAATGAAGGCGAGACCACCAGCACGCAACTGGACCTGGCGCTTTCAGACGGTGTGAGTCCGTCTGATGTCATGCTGCAAGGGAACTCGATGTATTTTCTCCACTACGACCTAGACCACCCAGAAAAAAATCAAACCTGTATACCGCTATCGCCTGCCACCAGAACTTGTTCTGGATACTGCCTCAGCCACTAGAGGAGCTCAATCCACTGAAGATACTTGATGTAGTTGAGGGTGGCCCTTGCGGCCACATGAGCGTATCCGGAAAGATTGCCGCGCGATGCCGCGTGTGTTCCATGGTTCAACAGTGCGACTCAGATATTGGGTTGTCCAATCGATAGCACCCGCTTTTGACATCTTTTGACACCGGGCTTCTGGACGGTAAATACTCGTTTGCCTTTTGATACAGGTATGGTGCAGTTATCTGGATTGATTGGAGCCAAATTGTTTGATTGCCCATCCAGCACAACCCAGCATGGATAGCTAGCTGAGGCACTAGGAGGGTTTCCATTTGCGTAATCTTTAGTTCCTTGCTTTTGTTTCAGAATTTCAGAGCTTACTTTACATTGTTTTTGCTTGCGAGGCCTAGGAATTTCCAATGTTGGTTGGAAGTTTGCGCACGGTGTCGGGCACCTTTCGGAAGGGAAACCGGTCTGATTCATGTTGACTTTATATTTACATCGTTGAGGTGGATTTGGAAAGTCATTTGGTTCAGATTTGTGGTTTGCGCCCTGCTTCCCAAGGAACCAGGGCACCTATACCCACCTTGTCATCCTTTCCCGTCCTTTGTTGGTGTTGCGCGCCAGGTGCAACGGCGCCAGAGGCAGAGTGTGAGGCTTGAGGGGATGAAATGAAGATGGCCGCAGCTGGTGGACCATGTTTCGGGGACCTTTGGTCCAGGCCCCATCAGAAACCATTCGGATTGCTGTCGCACCCACCACATGGCCATGATCCAGTGAAGGTGCATGTTGGGGGCAAACATTACATATATAGTTGATGAATGAAGGTTTTCTAAAGAGACCTGTCGCCAAAATACAATTGTTTGCAAAAGTCCGAAGCAGCCTTCGAAGTGTAAAACGTCACAGAAGGTGATGCAGGTTCATCCGTATCCAGGCCTTTCAATGACACCTGTCCCCCAAGCAATGCGACTGCACTCCAAAGAAGTTGTCGAAGTGAGAAACATGTGCGTTAGAATTGGAAAAACTCGCACGCGAACCAATCGATTGGTTTGTTGGATGTTGGTGAGTTCTTGTTGTTTTGCTGTGTCTCTGGATATGTATTTCCCGACTTGTTGAGTCTGACTCACTGGTGGGATTGGAAGTAACGCAGGAACATGTGAGATCATGAAACGTGAATTAATGGCAAGTGGCAAAGGGCAATGAAGGCCCCTTAATTAACAACTAACCCGAACCTCCAGCAGAACGGGTTGCATCAACAGCACATAATTCCTTCAACTTGTGATTTTCCACCTATAGGCTCAACTTGCTGTAAAACACTGAGAACTTGTGAAGCAACAAACATCAAGCATCATCCAGCATTGTGTGATTCCTCTTTCTTTTCTTCAACATGCCATGAGCGCCGAACGCCGGGGCGCCCCCCCGGCTTCCGGGCGCCCCGTGGCGGCCCCGCGGTACATGCTGCCCACCCTGAGCTTACCGCGCGCGCCGCTCGAGCCGCTCCACAAGCGGTCGCTGCCACGGCCGCCGGTCCAGCGGCCGTCCTCGTGCCGGGGGCGGTCGAGGCCGATGAGTCGGTTGCTGGAGTCGCAACTGCGAAGGACCTGGAGAGGGGGAAGAGGACCTTTCTCCCTTTTTTGTTGGAAATGACGTGCTGTTGGTATACATAGGGATATGATATGTAGAAAATTGTTGTGCCAGGGAGCTTTCCAGGTGGGAGGACTTTGTGTTTTGATTGATTAGATTTCGGGGACTGAGGAGGGCCTCGCAAGAGAAATCCAATTTTGAGTATGCTTTTAGTTCAGTATGTAATGCCGGGATGCCGTCATGTTCAATGAAGTCAGTCCCTCGGCACACATCCACTATAGTTTCACAAGTAGTCATCCTTCTGACATTAGAGTTGTTCTTCTCAGTCTGAAGAACCAGTTGAGAAGTTCTTATCGAGGTCTTCTCACTCCGATCCTGCGACCCTCCCGGTGAATGGACTCAGCACCCGCCCGATGCTCGCAGTCAGAGGACCCAGCGCTTCGATGCCGAGACACTCCTCGAGCAATCGGACATCTATCGGTCGAGGAGGTCGCAGATGGCCAGCATGGACGAGTAGCTCAGCTCAGGAGACTCAGGAGCTGGGACAATGGAGCTCCATCGCTTTGGAACCATGATCCTAAGTTGAGTCCTTCTTCCAGGCTAGTCGTTTTCTTGATTGTTTGACTATATGTTTGACTATTTGCATGATCTCAGAAATTGAAAGGCACCTATATTTCTTTGGTTTCAGACTGTTGCCCGCCTTTGTAAGCACACAACGTGCTAAGTTCCATGTCCTTTTCGGAGTGGGAAGCCGGCACCAATTGACCTCCTGGCGTGGCCTGTCTCTATATCTTCTCTCCAAGATGTTCCCAAGTCTCTAATCAAATTTCATCGCCGGACCTCAGCTCCAGGTCCTCCTGGTCTCCGAGCTCCGCTTGCTCCCCCCACGGGGCGCTGCACGACGCGCCGGAGGCAGGGCGCGGCGCGGCGGAGATCGAAGGCTCCAGCGCGGAGGAACTCGGCCGGGGCTGGTTGCCGGAGCTGGAGGGCACCATGAGCGACGAGGACTTGCAGCCCGAAGTGCCTGGGATGAAGAAATAGCAAAAACAAGAAACATCCATGAAAGAAACACCAAAAATCAATCATGACGAAATGTCTAGCAAGCCACCAAGTTCTCACTCGGACAGTTTCAACCAGGGGCAGAGAAAAGTTAAGTGTCCGCACTATCCACAAGTGGTTCCCCTTTTGGGGTGTTCTACGCACCACCGCACCACTGGCTGAAAAAAAAACAACTCCTTGACCAAGTGGTCCTTCAATGTCAGTGCACAGCCTCAACAAAAGCGAAAGGAATTAAAGACCTTTGCTACTAGTAGCAAGAAGCCACTAGGTGGAGGCCATCGCTATTAGGTTGGAGGCCATCGCTACTAATAGTAACAAGAAGCTATATTCAATTCAAAGCCAAAATGAAAGTTCAGTCAGATCTGTGGGGCTGCAGGCTACCCTCTATCGAACGGTCATGGAAGTGCAACATGAACTCATTGAAGACAACCTTCCACAAACAGGGGGACGTTCATTTCTACATGGTTTCAGCCTCCCCTCCCACCCCTCGCTTGCCAGACATCTCCTTCGAGGCCCCCGTTTGCAATCATGAACAGACTGCATGCAGACCAGTGTCCTCCCTGGCGCAGTCGGCCAAAGCCTTCATGGAGAAGCGTCGTCAGGTGGAAGAAGCCGAGTCTCGACCATGGAATTTACGGGTGCAAAAACCAGCTACAGAGAGCTAGTGGCCAGACAAACACTTGCAAACAGCCGAGCGGGTGAGAACGGGTATGCTTCTCTGGTGATGGGTGTTTCTGAACCACTTGCATCCACTTGCCATAGTTGATCACCCTCCATCCATGGTGTGGTGATGTTTGGTGGATGGCCTGGCTAGAAGACCAGTTTTCGAAGACCCGACGCGGAGGGGATACGAATTTCCGGATTCTCGGATGGAGCGTCAATGGGAATGGCGAGCAGCCCTCATCAGCTCGGTCATCCGCTTCGAAAAGGAGGTGTTGGGATCTGTGAGGAGGTTGACACAGGGTTTGCCATCGACACAGGGACAGAGAGACGTGGTGATGTTTCAGAGCTCACCGTTGGTATCTCTCTATGCACCAAACAAGCAGCATGTATGTAGGAACATGTAGGAACTGACTAGGCCGTGTGGCTAGGGACTGGGGTTTTCATCCTTCTTCCGTGCCCACATCACGGTTGTTCCGACCACCTTGTGGCTTCAAGGAATCGAGTGCAGCACTGGAGTGGCAGCAATTCATCTTGAAGAAGACCTCTGTGGTGGAGGAGCCTGAAGTGGCGGAGGAGACACCCAAGGCTCACCGTGTGGCACCCTTATCGATCGCGGAGCTCTATCAGCTCTGCAATCAGGTCTCGAAGACCTTGCTCATCCCCATTACTGAGGTGGGAAGACGCAATGTGTCGGGTTCAGTGTGTCGGTCGTTTTTGATGCAAGGATGGGTCAATATGATATGGATTGGGTGAAACAAGGGCAGGAAAAGCAACGAGGAGAAGAAGACCAGGTTGGTGTGGAGGGTTTTGGGATGTTTTGGGAGTTTGAATGAGATTACTATAATTAATTGCACTCAAGTTCATATCGGTGGCTTCGACACAGCTTCGAGGCTATCATGAATCATACTGTGGTTTTAAAATATATATGTAAAACGGACTGATGAAGATTTTGCCACACACAAAAAAAGACGGTGATCAGTTTCTTCCTTCGACGTGTCCAGGTGCATCACCCAAATTCAAAAGGTCGCGAAGTCGATCGGCACACCAATCGAGTCGTGAGTCTACATTTGTTGGTGATAGAATGTAGAGTACCCATTCTACTAGTCTAATATTCTATATTCTACACGTCACACACACCACACATTATTTGTGGTTCCAACTGTCTAGGAGGATTTCGTTATAGATTCCTTCAATCTCTCTCAAACACCTCCAAAATCTGATTCTCTTCCAAAATTTGGAATCCCTACAATTCTCATAGGTTCTCGACTTCACCCCTAACGTGGGTTGCATGTCGCCAACATGACCATGGGATGAAGAACTACCACCAATCTACCCACCCATCTACAACCAAATCACAAGCACCTGGTCCAGCCCCCCCAACGCACCAGCCATACCATTCCCCGGGAACCCGGCGCATCGAAGGTGAAGAGTTGCTTCGACGACTTTTGCACCTTAGACCTGGACGGCAGCTTCTCCTTGTCCGCCGACGAGTTCGAGCGGGCGGTGCGGAAGTCCTGCAAGATCACGGAGGATGAGCCACTGCCACAGAGGCTCAACACACATGGAAAAAGGATAGCTTTGGGAGCGTTTTGGTATGTTCTTGTTTCGGGGGGGAGATGGGCCCCAGAAAGAACATTAGACACGATCCAAACTCGTGGCGCAGGTTGCCAGGTGATGGATACAGAGGTGTGCCATTTCTTTAAGCAAAGTCTCCTGAGGGGTGGTATGTTTGTTGTATGGTGTGGTACTCAATGTGAAGAACAACAACAGGTGAGTCACGTGAGGTGTAAATTTAGAGGCCATCTACTACTTGGTTATGTCTTGTTTGTCGCACATGATAGGTGGAAAAGTCACTCCTCGAGTCATGCCTTGTGTATAGTCGAGTCTATTTGAATCTCTTTGACTACGAACTGCCCAACAAATGAAGAACTGTGTGATATTTCCGCTGGCTGAGTGGTAATCATCACTCATCTCCATCACTCCATCAGCCCAGGAACCTGGCTTTGAAGTACTCCCAGATGGATGCCGATGGCAATCGCGTCGTCGACTTCAAGGATTTGCTGTGACATCTGTGTGCAGCAAATGCTCGAGGTGAATAATGTGTTTACACTCGAAATGCAATACCCATATACAACTCGGAATGCTTCACCTCTAAACTCTACAATCGAGTTGACACCATGTGAAAGCGACACGATTTGACTTAGTAAACTAGTAAACGTTTCGGACGGATGATGAAAGCTCTGGAAGAGGGTATATCGTGGAGATCTCGGAGCCCAGACTTCACCCAAAGCCGCTTTGATACGTCAAAGCTGACCACAAACCTGGTCATGTCTCGTGTGTTCACGTGTTGGTATACTGGGTAAATTTGTTGGGGTGTTTTGCGGTGAATGTGAGAGAGAATGTGAGTCTTTGGGATCTGCAGAAGGATACGGTTCAATGGACCCCCAAATTTGTCCGACCTGTTCGAACCCTTGGACCTCGAGGAGTACGTGCGCTGGTCCCAGGGCGCCAGCTGGTCGGAGCAGCTCTTGGTGCGCGACGAGCGCGACCGCGAAGCGCGGAAGTTGGCCCGGCAGCACGGGCGCCTCGGTGTGGGACCGAGGAGGTCCGGTCAGAGAACGAAGATGTATTTGGGGGGCTCCAATAGATGTGCAGGGAGAATAGAGGAGTGCAGGGAGTGCAATTGGTGCAGATGTTTGATCATGTTTGCAGGAGGGGATCGTCCAATCTCGTCATCGACAAGCGTAGGTTGGATGAAGCGGAGTCTTTCTTGAGGTTTCACAACCGGTGTTTGTTAGCGTGATAAGACAAGTTGTTATAAATTATGTTCGCAGGTGGACTGCGACCAAATGGATTCGCATGTTTGGCGTTTAATCAAAACCTAGAACCCTGAAAACCATGGGATTGTTTGACCCTCCCTGGGGCATCCAATTTCTGGTTCATTCGCCGGGATCTCCGGGTGCCTTGAGGTCCCATGGCCCATCATATGATACCATATAATGTCTCATATCATATCTCTCAATCGGTCCTATGTCCTTGAAAGGGAGTCATAACAACTTCTTCGTCATCTATATATATCCATCCATATCCATCCATCCCTCATGTCCTTGTACACGTAGTTCTTCCATGATCTTCCTTTTGTTCCGCGCACCGGACTGGGCCAAATCCGGATTCGCTTCACGCACGGCATCTTGGACCTGCCGAGGATCCACCTGTTGGACGTGGAGCGGCTCCGGCGTGTCTTCGACCGCCACAGCAGCCAGACCGACCGGGTTATCACGCAAGACCGCTTTGGGCACGTGATTCGCACCTGGCCGGCAAGGCCCTGGAATCTGCCCAGGGGTTCTTGGGCCAGCCCCGGCCGTCCCCGGCCACGAGGGCCACCGGCGAACAAAACCGAGTACGGTTGCCGACCATGAAGAAGAAACACAATGCTCCTGCCAGGTCCATTCCAGTACCGACCCTGCCAAAACCTCACGAAGAATAGATCGCACTGAAGACTGCGTTCCTTTGTGTGAATTTGACATTATCATGTCAGCTTTCACGACCCCTCAATTTGTAAAGTTGATTTGCTAACAAGCCAAACAATGGCTGCAAATGGAATTACAACATATTACAACAAATATCCACACACACTACATAAGAGTCACTAAAGATTCCGTGCATGTCAATAGTGCGATCTTACATCCATGTCCATGTCAATGCTTTGATATTGTCCTGTGACATCCTCAAACAAACCATGTCAAACCCTAGTCAATGCCAAAGTAGCTCCAACATCGACTCTCGCGGATTTCAGAACAGCGCCAGAGGCTGCAGGTGTTTATCATCCACCGCCCAAGCACGACATGTCGCCCAGAACCCACATGGGATGGTTGTCCGACACCAACCTCTCAGGTGCTATCAATAGACGCCCCTTCAATTGCCCTGGATCTTCCTTCGTTCCTGACTTGCACGATCTCGCACGATCGATCTCCCCAGGTAGCATTTTAAAGGTCACGGACCCCAGCGACGTGCCCTCCAGCCGTTTGGAGCGCTATTGGCGCGAGATCGACCTGGACGCCAGTGGCACGGTGGACTTCGAGGAGTCTTCTGGCGGCACGGTGGACCTGGCGCACACACCGCGCTCGGCCAAGGTCGGGCTGGAGGTGGAGCTGTTTTGGAGGTCCAGTTTGGCTCATCTGTGAGTTTCCTCACCTCCAGATTTGGTGGGTGGTGACCTTTTTTCGAGGCTCCAACTGCACCACTGGGCCAAACATGGGAGGTTGGAATCTATAGTGGCCGAACCAAGCTATTCTTGACACAGGAGCCAGCTTCAGTGGTTTTGCTGGAAAGGTTGGGTGCTGGATCTGGATGTATTATAGTGTGAGGTCAGGGCTTTGGAACATTCCGCAACATCTAAAAGTGGTGCCGAATAATTCGGTGTCAATTGTCTCAAGTCAGACGCAGGAGTCCCGGAAAGTCCACATTGATGTAGGAAGCTGTTGACCCTTTCCCTAGGGATCCAGTCATACCTTCTCAGAAGGTGATACACTTGATACACTGTTATGTAGGTTTGGAGGGTCCAAGTATCTTCTGAGAAGGTTCTTGGATCCCGAAGGCTTTGGGTCGCTGTGCCAGGCTTGAGATCTGGTGAGTGTCAGGAGGTCACATCCTACCTGACGGTCACAGGAGCTTGCGACCCGCCGGCGGTGATTCCTGGGGGGACGATAAGAATCTGTTCCATTCTTACTAGTAGCGATGCCAGAACCCTAAAACCCTAAACCCTAGTAGTAAGAATGCTTGTAGCGATGCCGGGAGCCCCTAGTAGCGTCTTGTTCCAAGAATCCATTCCCATCCATTCCACCGCACCAGATGGCACGGTCGCGCGCACCTATTCCGAGGTTTGTGATTTGGATGAGCGATCGAGGACCTCAACAGGGCATTTATTTGAGCAGCTTGGGCAACTTGGAATGACATCCTCTGTGGAGTTCTGTAAATATTTGTAAATACATTCGATGAACTCTTCTGAACGAGGCGAAGTTGTGAAGCTTTCTGGTTGAACAACTCTAATTAGGTATATTAGTGCTTTTATCATCTTTTATCCAGGGGACCGACGCTCGAGTAAACAACTGGATCTCTATCCATTCAAGTGTATCCTTACAGAGAACTTCAGTACGCGGCAAAGCTCCAGCAAACTGAACTTATCCTTCTGAACTTCTCCTCTTTTCATGCTCCAAAGTCACTCCCGCCGATTTTCCGGCATGGCCGCACTTCTTCGGCGGTAGCATGGCCCGTGATCCCGAAGGGATGCGACCGGGCTGGCTCACAGTGCAAATGCAGCACGTGCAAAAAGCTTAGATTCCGCGAGTGAGGAAGATGTAGGAGTGGATGTAGGTGTGTTGGAGGCCATCACTCTTAGGTTGGAGGCCATCGTTGTTAGGTTCCTTAAAGTATTTTTCTTAAAGCCTTTATGTAGTGAAAGCAGAAATGGCTCAACAAATGAACCCAAGCTGTTTTGTTGGGCCCAGCCCGCTCATCATCGCTCCACACCCCCTGCGAGGCAGAAGAACCCAACTGCAGGTTCGCGGCGAGCAGTTGCTAGATGCCGGCTTGGCGACTCAAACAGGGCAGAGAACACAAGGATACACAAGAACTGCAAGAACTGCTGATGTTGTTTGGTGGCTTTTGAATATGCAGACCGATACAGACAGCTTTTTTTTTCCATTACTGTGGTGGATGGACAGATGTGCGGAATAGGATCCGCCTCTTTAAGATCTTCAAGTGGACCTAAGTCATTATATCAGTCCAAAGTTCAAACCTCTCACAGTTGCTTTCGAAGTCCCAACCAGTCGGCCCTCGGCTCCCAGGCGGCGGACCTCAGCGCCGAGGCACCGGGACAGATCCCACGGGTCCACTGGACCTTCGATTCTGCTCGCGCGTCCGGGCTCGTCGGGTCCGGGCTCAGGTCGGCCAAAGGACACTCGCGGTACCGACCGCCCATGCAAGTACTGCTACGTGCAAAGTCAGAGGGTGGTCATGATCCTTTTTTTTGCAGCCTGCTGCCCGTGCGGTAGCCATGTGGCTGAAAGTGAGCGTAGCACAACTTCTTGCGATCCTTTTGCCTCTAGCATGGTCCTGCGGACCCCGCTGCAACCTCTCAGAGGGTGATGTGGAAGACTTCGTGCAAATTCATACTCTTCAAAATCCGGTAGAGGAGCCTGGGTCTGAGTACTACTCGCAACACTCGGATCGATTGCATCGGCGCTTGCATCGGCGCGACCGGTGCTCAGAGATGAATTTAGTGCAGCTGTTGTTGTTTGCTGTTGACCGTGCTTGGTGGTTTCTTTTGCATGTCCCTTTTTCAGAGATCAGAGACCCATAGATCTTTTTCTGGGGTCGGGTAGGTATTCTATGTAGATTTCCGGCATGGTTGGCTTGCTTTACGCCCGTTTTTGCACATTGGCGCCCTTGTAATGCAAACCCAGCCAAGTCAGTGTCAGAATTGAAGTACTGTACACCCACCGCCGAGAGTTTCTCAAGAGTTCTTTGTCGATAGAAGGTTGACTGTGCCATCACCTGAGAGTGTTTCGCTCGTTGCTTCCTGCCGTGGCTGCCATGGCTAAAAACGCTCGCAGTTTTCTCATACGTATATATACCCCACATGTTTTTTGATCGCTCTCCGGATCAAGCTTGCTTGCATGTTTCGGGCGCTTGGGAACGGCGGCGCGCTTGCCATAGCGCTCTCGGCATTGGACCCCAGCTGGCCACCACCTCCGCTTGACTGCATCCCTCCTGAGTGGGAGCTGGACTGCTTCTCGGGATTTTGGTGGGAATGGTGTATCCTCTAGCTGAGGCTCTTTTGGCATTTCGCTGGCACTCAAAGGTGCAGACCAACCGCCTCTCCGAGCCCCTCAAACCCAAGAAGCTCAACGTGCTCTCCAGAGCCTTCAACGGCCGACGCTGTTGGATCAGTGCAGCCCTCTGGTTCCCCCACGGACCCGATCTCCCAATCACTCGTTCGGCTGAGATTGTCGAGAACCTCACGGCAGACAAGAGATGAAAGAGAGCAGCCTCCTTGGAAGCGACTCTGGATGCTATGCATGGAGGAGGTTCCAACGAGTCTGCGGGGTCTGGAGGAGGAAAGAGGATGGCTGCAGCCCGCTGGGCCCTCCACAAAGCACTAGTGGACTCTCCCGAGGAAATACATGCGATTGTGGAAAAGAGGATGCTGGAAGATCTGCTGGGGTCGACTGTGACCCCACTGATGCCGACGCCTGCCCTGTGCTCCAGAGCTTGGGTCGAGCACCGGTCCAAGATATCGAACTACAAGACATCAGCGCATGCGGCGTGGGGAGCAGCGGGAGCTCTCGATGCTCTCCTTCGCGGTCAAGTCGCAGAAGCCCGAGCCAGATTGGGACTGCTGGTGCTGCAACTGGACCAAGCCTCCATCGACAAAGGCTCATGGCATCTAGCAGCCGAGCTTGCTCTCGAACCCCCGCCGCCTCTTGCGACTCTGGCTCGGCACAGCTCCAAATCCCACGCAAGGAGATCTACCATACTCCAAGTTGTTGGATCCCAGGTGAGCAGAGCTGGCAGTTGCACATCTTCGAGAGACGGACGACTACCTACAGAGGCGCAAGACTCTGCAGCGCACCTTCACCAATCCGACCAAAGACGACGACAGCGAACGTCCGGAGCCCAAGAGAAAAGCAAAAGCCAAGGCAAAGAGCTTCCCAAGGAAAATCAGTGAGTCGAAAGTCCGAACAGCCTCAGCCTGCCGGTGAATCTGCCGATGTTCCGGGCGCAGATGCACCGACCGTGAAGGTGAGTGCCCTTGTGAACTCGTTGCCTCGATGGTTGCTCAAGAGTTCGTGCAGCCTGAGTGGTTTTTTGCGTTCCTTCTTCGACACGCCCAAATATATTGGGTACCCATACTTCCAGTTCACGCTCTCGCATTTGGCCTATGCCGCTCCCCTATCCCGAAGCTTTTCAGGAAGCTCCAAACCCTTGTGGCAGAAAAGAGCAGTCTGCCTTCAGGTGTTAGTGCTCGACTGGCTTGTTCTCGATTGCCCAAGAACTGTTCCTCAGGAGTTGCGGTGTGTGGTCGGGAGGCTAGAGTTTCTGAGCTGGGATCGTAGTACTCCTTCTGACATCGACCCAGAGCTCATGGGCCGTGCAGCCTCTAAAATTGAAGCTTTCGATCGTGAGCTCGGGGCCATTCACCGCGTCGGAGCGTTTTTGACTGATCGTGTTTCAGCTTACTTTTCCGTTCGTCCTGCCAAATTCAAGGATAGATGATTCGATCCAGACTGATTGAGATGTGGATCGCTTATGAATGATGAAAGCACTGACGGCCGTGACCAGTTCACAGCCAAGAGCATTGTAGCTTCCTGCTTTCGAACCTCAGGAGTTCATGGATCCCAAGACTGCCACCATCTTTGACTGCCCGATAGATCACGCCACCCCGGTTCACGGCATTCTCGAGCCTGTGCCGCGAGTGCGGGTTAGAGCCACTAACTCCGAGAGGCTAGACCTGTACAAGAAGCTTGCGCTATCAGGTCGCCTGCAACCAGTGCTCGCATCTCAGACCAGGGCTGGGCTCGGGGCCGGCATGTTCTCTGTGGGTAAAAGTATTGACAAAGACAGGCTCAGATGCACGTCCTGCGAACATAGCTGAACTGAAGTTGCACCATTGGACGCATGCCATGGCATCAGCCTCATTGCTCAGCGACATCATCTTGCAGGATGACCAAGTTTTAATTTCGTCAGGTGAAGATTTAAGAGATTTTTTCTACCAATTCAAAATTCCTCAACAGCGATTAGCTCGCAACTTCCTTTGCAGCCCGATCTCGATCAGGGAAGCTCGATATGTTTTTGGTGATGATTTTGAATGGAGTGAAGACCCTGCTTGGTGCAGCCTGGCAACACTAGGCATGGGTGATTGCAATGCTTGTGAGTATGCACGGTCCAGCCATTTGGGCCTTTGTTTGCAACATGGTGTTGCTGCTCCCGGTGAACTCATCACCTTGAAAACTGATATGCCCCGTGGCCTTTTGTCCATAGGCATCATTATAGACGACCTAGTGGTTCTCGAGAAAGTTGCAAGGGAAATAGGTTTGGCTGCAAATGGTAAGCACCACTCCACCGGCAGCGACGTCAGGCTGGATCACGCCCTGGCTGGATACGCCTCTGTTCGGCTTGAGCGCAACCCCAAGAAGGAATTTCGCAACTGTCTGCAAGCCAGATTTTGGGGCTGTGAGCTCGATGGCACGATGGGGAGAAGGGTACGCCCCCTCATCCCTGCGACTCTGGCCATTCATTTTCATCACATCTCGAGTCGCCAGCCTTGGGTTATGTTCGGTCGGTTGGCTTGAAGCCTTAGCCGGTTCGTGGGTTTCCTTGTTCTCCATCAGACGAAGATTTTTGTGCGTCATGGACCTCATGTTTGAGCCCCTCTCATTTTCCGACCAAACCAAAGTCATTCGACTCTCTAGTGAATTGATTGACGAGCTTTGGACTGTTTGCGTTTTAGGAGTCTTGCTTTTGCCAACTTGAGAGCTCAACCAGTGAGCTTCCTTACTGCCACTGATTCTTCGAATGATTGGATGGCTGCTGTGAGGGCTCCGCTAGCTGCGGAGTTGGTT